TGAGATAATTAGATTTATTTAGTTATTTCAATTAATGATTAGTAAATGTGGTTAATTAATTTTAATAAATTTTAATTAATATTGAGTTAATTATTTAATTAAATTAATTATCTTGATTAATTAATTTTAATTTTCAATTAACCTTAATCTTGATCAAAGTCAAAGTTATTTTTTATTTTATCTCAATTTCACCCAAAAGTTTTTATGATTAAGCAATTTAGTCCCAAGGTTTCAAATCTTTTTAAATCAGTCTTTCATGTTTTTGGAATTTAGTCAAATTAATCTTTCATGTTTTTGAATTTAATCAAACTAGACCCTTTTAATTTTTACTTGTATTCATTGTGCATGTATGTCTTTGATTTTGTGCATGTATATCTTTCATGTATCTCTTTTTTCCAAGTTTGCTTATTAACACTCAAAAATAAACATGATGAATAAGTTGATTCAAAACCCCCAATGTTAAAGTATGCAACCGTGTTTAAACGGAGGATTGTGAGGTGCGCATATGCCTTTCCTCATTTCTAACCGAACTCCCGAACTCCAATCTCTGCACAAATCCATTTTAGGTGACTTGTCCCACCTTATAATTTGGACGAGTGGCGACTCCCTTTTCTTGTATTTTTATACTTAATTTTGTTTTTGTTTTGAAAAAATCTTAAGTGGTCGTCAACAAGCATGCGCATTAGACTATAGACATCTAAACCTAAAAGTTAAATTAATAGGAGGCATACATTCCAATTTATATAATGGACCTATCATGTTAGATGTTTATCCAAATTATCACATAAGTTTAGGAGATATAAGAGTCTAACTATAAAAATCCAAATAAAAAATATTAATATGCTAAAAGGTAGCCATAACTTATCACCACATTATAGAATAATGTATAGACTAGTTAACACTACAAATCCAAAGTTTAGAAGAGAGCCTACAGATGCCATTTTATGGGAAAGTAAGACGCCTCAAGCACAAAGACTAATACCTAGAACATTAACATGGAAATATCTCACTATTCCAACCAAATGATTATTAGAAGACAAACTTAGAGCCTTAACTTCAAGGCCAAATAGAGGACTAAAATTAGCTACCACAAAAGATGGACAAGTGATAGTAATAAACACAAAAAAAGAGAGAAAGGATAATAAAAAAACTAGGATATAAGGAAGTTAAGCTACCTATAAGAAAAGGGATATCTATGGTACAAGAATATGATTGGATGCCAGAGTGGTTAAGATAAAGAAATCCACAATATCAAGCCTGGTTGATGGAGCAACATTTAAGAGAACAAAAACAAGCACAAGTAAAATCCATTTATGAATGCCATGGTGAAGAAACAAAAAAGATGAAAGAACCCATAAATTCAATCAAGACTTCTAAGAATAGTTCATATATAAAACTTAAGTTTAAACCTAATGGGTATCATGCATATACTATAGATGCATTAGTAGATATAGAAGCTGCCTATACATTAGCTAAGCCAAATGTTCTTCCAGAAGATCACTGGGTTAAAGTTCCTACAAAAAGACTAGTAACAGCAAATGGATAGATGGTAGAACTTAAGTATTTAGCTAGAAATGTTCCACTATACTTAGAAAAGCAAGTATTAGTCATAGAACAAATATGGCAATTGCCAGAATTAGATGAAGATATAGTATTAGAAAATAACTTTCTAAAACAAAGGATGTGCCTTCCATTTGTGCATCATGCAGATTATATCCAATTAGGAACACCACCTCTTAGTATAAAGTTATTAAGAGAAGCCGGATAGAAATGTACTTTAGGCTTTCAACCACAAAAATTATCAAACCAACCAAAAAATATAATATCTTTACCCATAAAGAACATATCAAAGTATGCGCTTGTAAATCGTGGTGATATAGGTATAGTTAATGATAAAGAAGAAAAGGATGAAAGTTGGATAGTAGAAATTAATGAGCATTATGTGCAACAAAACCTTAAAGCTAGTAAAGATAGAATGCCAAGTTTAGAAGAAATATCAAGAAAGATTAAAGAAAACTTCAGTGAACATCCTTTAAAGCTATGGGATAGAGATAAAACAGTGGCAAAAATAGAATTAGTAGATCCAAAAAAGATTATTAGGATGAAACCAATGACATATGGACCAGATGATGTTAAGGAATTCTAGCAACAGGTAAATGAACTTTTAAAGAAAGGCTTAATACATCCTTCTACTGCGCCCCATAGTTCACCCCCTTTTATGGTTAGAAAGCATGCAAAAATAAGAAGAGGAAAAGTATAATACCCCAAAATTTTGTGATATTTAGCACTTAGTTAAGGACTTGATTGTGAGGAAAATATTACTTTGGGGCCTAATGTGCATATTCTGAACTTGAGGGACTTGAAAGAGAAAGAAATTGGATAAGGATGGCTGATCTTTTTCTCCTTTTCCTCTTTCTTTCTTCAGCCGCGTGTTTCTCTTTTTTTTCTTCTCCTTTACAGCCGGCAAAGCCTCCAAGCCCGACAGCACCTCTCTTGGGAAAAAACCGGTAGAAAGCTTGAAATTTCTCCTTCTTTCTTGCTCAATAACAAGTTTTAGGACTTAGAACTCCCTCTCTCAACCCAGAAATTTCAGATCTGCTGCTGCCTTCTCCTTCCTTTTGCTGCCGGTTGCTGCTGTGGGTGGTGGGTTCGGTTTTCTAGTAAGGAACACAACATGAACTTCATCTTTTCAACCTTAATTTCGCTTGGGTTCACTCTAAGCTCTTTTAATTTCCTTCAATTTTTGGTAGTTCGTGAGTCCTCTGCACTGCCGCCGGCCTTCCCCCAACTGCAGCTTCGGTTTTTGCTGCTAAATTCTGGTAAGTGGCAGCTCCATTTAAGTCCTAAATTAGCCATTTAATTGTT